AATATTGGTTTTTCAAATTTGCGTAACGATCTTCAAGCCAATAAAATTTAATTTTTGCGTGATATCTGGAAGGGAGAACGTCGCATAATTTAGCCAATGAAATCAAATGTCCACTATGCTTATAGTTAATAGTTAATTTTTAACATGTAAACAAATAATCAATTAAATATTGACAAAAAAAAAATCTAATATTGAATATATTAAATGAACTTAATTAATATATTAATATAATTTTTGATACCTAGTACTAATAGTTAATAGTTTTCCTTTTTATTATCTTTTCATTCAATTTTGAGATCATCTTGTGTTTTTCTTTTGTCATTTAATTCATATATCTTAAAAATTCTTCACAATAAAAATAAACAAAAGATGGTAATTACTCAGCATACTGGAAATGATGATGACTACAAGGTTTGAACATGGATCTAATCATAATTTTTTTATCTTATGAAATTGTATTTTAGTAAAAGAATACATTCATGTAGTTTTTCAAGTTAATTTAGTAATTTTTTCAAATAAAGGTCAGAGTTCGTGTCAAAAGGCCTAATGAAAATTTAATTGCTCAGCTTGACTATGATTTTTATGACATACAAAGCAACAACAAGGTGTACTAATGTGTGGTCAACACAGGTGCACCATAAACAATATTGCCATATTATGTTAAAAAAAGGCTCAGAAGAAGAGGGTGGAATACAATTACAGCAAGAGCTGGGGGTTATGGGTCGCCTGCAATACAATACTGTGCATCTCAAATGTTTGAAATATCTATCGGTGATGATAATAATTGGTAAAAATGGGACCATGCAAAAATTTTAGTCTGGGAAGAGGCTCCCAACAATCAGATACAATGCGCTCTTGTTGGTAATGATGTTACCGACAAATTAGCATATGTACATGAACCAAGCCAACCCATTAAAATTTTAAATCCTCGTGATGAACACAATCTCACCCAGTTTTTGAGGTGATGTGCTTGAATCTGAAATTTGAGACCTATAATGAAAACTGCTTTTTATTAATCATGTAATTTCTTATATTTGTAAATACATTCTATCAAAGGTATTATGATAAAAATTCAAAATGGATCCATTTCTTAATTTGTGAAAAAAAAAAAAATTTGTTGTTCTTATAATAATAAATAACTTATAAAACCGTTTTTGCTTTTGATTTCTTCCTTCTCCAACAAATCATATATTTTCTGAAAGCTCTCAATGTACTCTGTCTTATCATGCTAAAACGATCTCAATAGAGCTGATTTCCGAAAAGAATTAAGCTTCCGAAGTCAAAAACCATAGGTTTCTTTGAGAGGCTATTACTCCATAACTGGAAGAGCTACAAATGCATAAAGCTCGCGTTTTAAAAGTCAAAGGCAAGTGATTGTTTTTACTTAGAGGCACGAAAATTGTTTAATAATGAGTTTACGTTCAATTCATTCGCCAAAGTCCGTTGTACAGAAAAACGTTCGACTAATATTATATTAATATTAATATGTATAATGATCGGCAGGAAAATTAATACTTTTAACCTTGTTTTTTTAAAGATTGAAATGAAATTTTATCAATCGATATTTAAATACCGTCGTGAATTAATATTTTATCATCTCTTGCAAAAAAAGAATTCATATAATCATGACAAAAAATTCATTTTTTATTATTATTCAACTGGTCCATTTGATAGACCTGCACCAATTCCATTAGGCAACTTAAAAGATCAAAAAGAATTTGAAGAATTAATACGTAAAAATCAAGGATCTTTTACCAATTCAAATGATGGTGATGTTGATGATGATAAACATCACCCTGATTTACTTAGAAAACCAAATCCTGAATTTGAAGGTAATAAAAATCCTGTAACTGGTGAGGTTAATGGTCCTAAAGAAGATCCATTGAAACATGGTAGTGATTGGAGCTATGGTTCAAGAGTTACTGATTTTTAAAGTAAATTGATTGATTTTTTTAAAAGGCTCTTGTATTTATGTATATACATACATAATTTTTAATAGGCAGAATATTGAATAAAACAAATAAAATGAAAAAAATTGTTTATTGTTGTTGTTGTACATCATTTGGTGATATTGTTATAGATTTTGTCTAAATGAATCATTAAATTAAAATAGAAATTTCTTTATATTAATATGTTGTGTAGATGTATAGAAATAAGAAAAGTCCAACAATAAACTGAATTTTACCATATTTTTGGTTTTATATATTCCAACCAAACGATCGGCCAATTCAAACATATTGTTACGTAAACTAACAACAATAAATTGTGCATCTTTGGTACGCTCCTTGATATAATTTGCTACAATTGAGACATTTCGAAAGTCCAAAGCTGCATCAATTTCATCCATAACATATATTGGTGTTGGTTTATAATGATGAAGTGCAAATATCAATGCTAAAGAACTTAATGTCTAATAAAATTTTTCATTATATTAATATATAAACTATGAAGTTTACTGAATTAAAAAAAAAAAAAAAGAGAAATACCTTTTCACCACCAGATAAATTTGATATGTTTTTCCAGCTTTTTCTTGGTGGCATAACACTAAATATAATACCTTCAGAAAAAGGATCCAAGCTATCACAACATTCGAGTTCTGCATTTCCACCAAGTGTCATCAACTGATACATTTCTTTTAATTTTTTTGATATAAATGTGAATCCACACATGAATTCGTCTAATCTTCTTTTGCGTAACTCGTCATATTCTCTTTTACAACCATCACGTATTTCTGTTATCTCTTCAAGTTCTTTTGTCCGCGCTTTATATTCCTCTTCATAACGATGATATTCAATTAACACATCAAGATTTGGGTTCGCGTTTTGTACTTTTTCTTGTAATTTATTGATTTCATTAATCAAATCTTTTTTGTTAATTGCCATTAATTCATCATCAGAATAGAATTGGAGTTCATCTTCTTGCATGTCATCATCGCTTCCAATTTTATGAAGCGACAATTTTTCAAGCAGTTCATTCCAATGTCTTTGTTTTTGTTGATTTCCTGCTAAATTATGTTCAATATCTTCCAATTTATTTTTTATTTCCATTTCAACAGATCTCATCTGATTAAATATCTCATTTTTGTCATCAAGTTGAGCTTTAATTTCATCTAATTCATCTTTTTTATTTTCTAAATCCTTTTTTTAAAAAAAATATTAACAAATATAATATAAATAAACTATAATATATATAAATAAATATACAAACATTTTTTGACCTTTCAGCTTTTGAGTTAATAGAACTAGCACTTTCATTATTTTGTTCAATTTCTTCTCCAAGTTGATTTATCTGATTGTTAATTTCTTCGATTTCATTCTCACAATTTGTCAAAGAATTTTCCAATTTAGTTAAATCTTTCTCAGATTTTGATTTGGTCACCATCAAGGTTGTAACATGCTCAGTAAGTCGATCTATTTCTGATCTAATTCCATCGACTATAGCTTTCTGTGCACGAAGTCTACCACCACCAACTTCCATAATTTGATCTTGTAAATATTTTATATCATTTTCTATTGGCGTTGAATAATTTTCCTTTAATTGTTCTATGTCTCTATTAAAATTATCTATTGTTATTTGAAGTTCTTGCATTTGTTGATGATCTTCTAGATTTGGTCTATTTTGTTGGCTGTAGTAAATAATATCATACAGACGGATAGGTAAGAAAATAATGTTTATTGTTTTAATTTCTTTGTAATAAATAAAATAAAGATTTTTTACCATAATTGATTTACACGTTTCTCAACATCAGCAAAACGTTTTATACAAGATTGTAAATCCATTTCAGATTTTGTTAAGGCCAATTCCAATCTTGGGATTTCATCCTGTCTTTTTTCAAGTTGAAATTCCCAATCTTTACGTTTTTCATTGAAATCCTTCCATTCATTTTCAATATGGGCACGGTTTTGTTCCAACTCTGTCAATGTTTCCTGAGTAATGTCTGCAACAAATCTTGAACTCATAGCACCTCTTGATACTTTATTACCACCACCGCTCATAGTACCCGATTTATCAATAAGTTTACCATCCAAAGTGACGACACGCCATCTATATTTCCCATATGCTATCCTATTTGCTTGTTGTAAATTTTCTGCTACTAAGGTGTCGCGTAAAACACTGTAAAAAGCTGGAGCAAACTTTTGATCTTTTGGTCTTATCAGGTCAAATAGGCGTGGAACATTTTCAGGTGTTTGGATTGGATTCATGCTGAGTTCGGGAAGTTGATTAAGACAAATGAAGTGGCCACGACCAAGATTATTTTTTTTAAGGTATTCTATACAATTTTGACCAACTTCTACATTATCAACAACAATATTATTCAGTCCAGGGCAAGCAGTCGAAATAGCTACATCATATTTATCATCTATAACACCAAGATTTCCTAATCGATCCTAAAATTCAAATTCTTAAAATTAACATGTAATATATACACACTCTCATTTATTTATTTTCTATTAATCAACATACATGAAATCCTCTTATTCTCCCACTATCTTTAAGTTTAATTAAACTTGAGAGAACAACGCCTCTTGATTGTGATGATTGTAAAGAAGTCCTTGCTTCATCTTCTTTTTGACGAGCATCAGCAAGATCAGATTTTAGTTTCTCTTTATAACTGGAACTATTCTATAATTAGAATGATAATAATAATATTAATAATAACCTTATTAATGTTATTATTTTATAATAGTCATGAGTATTAAAATATAAATACATTTAGCAATTCTTCATATTGCATTATTTCTTGATTTTTTAGATTAATTTGATGTTTGATAGAATCGATTTCTTGTTCCTAAAATAAAATATCATTTTTTTTTAAAGGATTCATCATCGTCATTAACAAATAAAATAATAATATAAATACTTTTGAAATTTTAGTTTGACTTAATGAACTCAAATCATTTTCTGATTGTTTAAGGGCTTCTTCAATCGAATCGTTTTTTTCTTTGAGAAGATTATATTCAGATTGTGCCACATCAATAGCAGATTGTTTCTCATTAATACTCTCTGTCCAAGGAGCAAGTTCTCTTTTCTTTTGTTCCATCTGCATTGTGAATTCTTCAGTTTTTTCTTTTTTTTTTTTTTATATATATATTTTGTTTTAAAAAGATTATACAAATATAATATACTTGTTTAAAAATAATTTTTTATGATTGATTACCTTTAAGACTTTCCCCGATTATTTCAAAGTTGGACTCCTCATCCACAAGATCCCTTTCCATTTTTGCAATTTCATTTTTTTGAGAAACTAAACTAGTCTCAACGTTATTTATAGAGGCTTTAGTTTCTGATATAGTTTTACGATTCTATAAGAAAAAAAAGATGGAAACACAATATTTAATAAATATATGAATTTTAAATTTTTTAATAAAATATATATATACAGGTATAGATATACAATACAGTTTGTAAAGTTTTTATTAATTTATTTTGTTTTCCAATAATATGTTTTTTTTTTTCTTGAAGATGAATATCTTGTTTTTCATATTTAGATAATTCTTTCAATATCAAATCAGTATTTATTTCAAGTGACTAAAATATTTAAATAAAAATGTTTTTTTAAAAAATATTAGAATCCAAATATATTTGTAATATATATATATATTTATATGTTATACCTGATATTCTGATAAAACATTTTTATATTTATCATCAAGTTCTTTTGATTCTTGTCTTAATTGTGAATGTTTTAATTCTTCTTCATGAAGTTCTTCTATAAGTTTATTCTAATAATAATAATAATAATCAATCAATTGATTGATTGATTGATTGATTGATTGGCTGATTAAGAAAGTTATGTATAAAACTCTTTGTAAGCCAACTCACATGGAGCTTTAGTTATATAGTGGAAGTGACTTACCATAGATTTAGTATAAATATCTATAGCATTGTTACATTCTAATAGTTGACGTTGATAATGAATTGATTGTTTCATTGTAAGTCTGTTTTCATCACGAAGAAAATCTTCTGCTTCTTTTTTCTTACTCTGAATTAATAATAATAATAATAATAATAATAATAATAATAAATCAAGATTTATTTAAATATTAATAATGGGAATCTTCCATACATACTTCTAAGTTTTGTTTTTGTTTTTCAACTATTTGAACACGATGTAATTTTTCAGATTGTTGTTCATTAAGTTGTTCAACTTTTTGATTAGCTCTTTCAATGGAAATTTTGTATTTGGAAGTTCCTATAATATCTTCAAGATATTCCAATAATCCATCTTCATGTTCATTTGGAGCTTTTGGTTTCATCTGAGCTATAGATTCAACCTCGCCCTTTATATTATATATATAAATGAATTAATTTAATTGATTAGAAGATAATTAATTAATTAATCAATAATCACCTGAAGAATAAGAAATCTTTCATGAGTCAAATCGATTGCACGATCTTTTAAAAGTGTTGTGACTTCAGTATAATTACTCTGGCGACCATTTATAAAATATTTACTGGTATCGTTACGAAGAACTTGACGTGAAATAACTAATTGTGATTGAGGGACAACTTCAAAATCATTAGATTCTGCCTATATAATCGAAATAATAGATAAATAAATCATCAAATACATGCATATATAAATCAGATATCAAAGAAAATTTAATAATTGAAATACCAAATCATAAATTTCTTGAAAGTGTATTTCAACAGTACAATAATTTAAATTTGTATGACCTTCAGATGAATGAATAAGTTGAGAAATTTTGCCTTGACGCATTTTACTTGCACGATAACCAAATACAAATAAAAGTGCATCAATGACATTAGATTTTCCAGAACCATTAGGTCCTACAATAGCAGAAAATGACTATGCATAAAAAATAAATAAATAAGCAAATCAATAATATTTGGAAAATATATGTTCTATGAAAAGTGTAACAAGGTGCGAAAATATATTTGCTATGACAAAGGTTCGCTGCGTACCTTATGAAAAGGACCAATTTCTTGGCGACCAAAATAAGATTTAAAATTTGTGAGAACCATTTTCTCGATAACTATGCGTGGTTTACATTCTTCCTTAGTTTGTTCTAATACATTACTGGTTTCTTCTTGGGTAGTAGTAGACATATTTAATAAATTTTTGTAATTATAAAGATAATAAAAAGGTTTCGTTCGACGCGTCAAATTTTGAACAAAGATCTTTACCTTATTTATTTTAATTAATTTTATTGGTCAAAAAATTAATTGGTGATCCGCCTACCTATCCAAGATTTTCATGTGACTTCTAATTGTATCTAGAAAATTAAATATAAAAGGTTGTTAATCTTACAAGTATGCAATAGGAGCAAGCATTCCAGAAATTGAAATTAAAATCATGATATAGTTACAATATCCACTTATTAATATATAAGAAAAACTATTTGTTATTATTTTTTGACCATCCAAGACTAGATATTTGCTTTATTCTCATGATAATTCAAGCAATTTCCTAAGTTGTGGAAAATTGGGAAATTTGGTCATAAATTGCATTTGTAGAGGTGGTGTGAATGTTTGGTTGCATCCTTTAAAATCCTTGGCAAGTTTATTTATTTGCTCCTGTAAATGAGAAAAGTTTTCCATTTATATTAATATAAGGAAGGACATTTGTAAATGTGGAATTTAAACGGAATATGCGATATAAGTAATTGATAAACTCGTAAATAAAAATGGGCAATTTTTTTTTACAAAGCATTTTATTTGTTAACCATTAACTTGATTAAACATACTAATATTAATATATAAAGTTTACTAATAAACTTTTTTTTCAACAATTATAAAAATAAAAAGTGCATCTTCTCATTCAAAACAAAAGATAAAATAACAAATGTAATGGTCCACATGGTGATGTTGTATGTGAAATTGAAATATTATAGAGTGGGGTGAAATTCTGATTGGTTAATTTGAATTTCACACACAACAGGTGACAGAGTTTTTTACTAAAATCATCCAAAATGTTAAAAATACTGTTAAACTTTGAAACGTATAGGCTCGACAACCAAACAAGTTAGAGTAAAAAATTTCCACGATATTTTTCTCTGTGATTCAAAGAATAGCCTGACAGAGAGATTTTTTTAAAATTATTAGTAGAATAAGGATTTATAAGAATTCAAAGTTATGCGATTTTATTATGATCTTTTTTTCCTTCGAAAATCTTTTCCTTTTGAAGAAAATGCTAAAATAAATAATAAATAAATAACATTATTTTTTAATCTTACGGGAGATTCTACAAGGAGTAAAGGTTCTAAGGAATTAGTTTTCATTTTTTTGACTGCACGTGCATTATGAATTAGTCTTTTATTGAGCTTTGGTGCAGATCATCTATAATCATTAATTGCTTATAGTAACAATTGGTCAACTTCAAAATACTAAAACAAAAAAAAAT